CGCCTTACCCTAAAAGCCAATAAGCACAGTCCTGCTTGTTCCTGTTTAGCTCAGTGGAGCTTACCTGATAATCCTTAAAGGAGAATACAAATGTAGGGGGTGCAGGCTTGGGCGCAAAGGAAGACCCAATGAAGGTTCAAACCCTTCTATAATGGTTTTACAGGAATTACCCCAAGATGGTGACAGAGCACTCGGCGCACCATAACAATTACAGCAGACTCCTTTAACAGTTCTCAGAAATATAAAATAAGAATAACAAAGTTTGAATAGGTTTTAAAGATATGTCCCACTAAGTTATGGTCCACTGTAGTTACTATTAATACTAAGAGTACCCTGGCACCATTCACTGGTAGTTAGGCAAGCTGTTTTACTATGGTTTGCCATTTTGCATGAAGAACTGCAGAAACCGGATACCAACTTTGAAGAACTCTCAGCCAATGAATGACCTTCTAAACTCTGGGCTGCCCAATAGCGTTGTAGCAGGTGGAATTACACAGCATGAAATATCTCTACATGCGCAACATTTCCTACAGAAACGATGCACATGCAAACTCCAAGCACCATTACCACTTTAAATCACTGAAGGTGAGCAAAGAACCACCTTTATATCTATGGAGAATCGCTGATTTGTGGTAAGAGGTAGGGCTATTTTCTTTTTTCTTTTGCAATTCTTTATTTTTGTCATGACAGAAGAGAAAGCAAGTCCTACATGGAAATCTGCAGAGGTACAATAGCAAATCAACAATAGATCAAATAAAGAAATACACTCGTCGTTGTGGGCACATGATCACATAGATATGGCGTAGCAACATGTCCATCCCTGTCTTTACTTATGCGTTTTTAAGGTTACCACATCAATATGTTGTGTCATGTTTTTATGATTTTATTAGAAAGCTATACATTTTGGAGAGTTATTGTCTCAAAGGGAGAGGCTGACCTGACTGCTACATCCCAAAAATATATACTGTCGCAAGTGGAGCTTATCTCAATATCTTGCCGCATATCTGTTGCGCGACATGTCTTATTAGCGTACACAACATTCTCCATTTAGAGGAATATTACAACAAAAATCAAAACAGAATAAAACAAATAAAACTATCTCATCATTCAGAAAAGAACAAGGCAGACCATATATTCGGCTCTAACATATTTGAAATTGTAGCAGCATGGGTTGGGTGGGGGGTGGGAGGGCGCACCAAGTTTATTTCTTTATTTTTTCCTTTTTTTGTCTTTCTCCTTATTCTCCCTTATATTACTTTTCCTTTTCTCTTCTTCTCTTTTTTCCTTTTTAAATTATTTTTTCACTTTTTTCCCCACCTCCTTTACCTTTCCTCCTCTCTCCATTTTTATTTTCCCTATTTTAATAAAGGCGGTTGGTATTTTTAAGCTACAGGCGTTGGTCTGCTATTATTCTAGTAAGATACCAGTCCGTGAATTCAAAAGTTGATTTTTCTTTTAAAAGAACCAATAAAAGGTTGCCAATTTATAATTTCCAAAGTTCTTTGTTTAACGAGGCTTCAATCCAATCCATATTAAATAGAAAATAAATGTTAGTGAGCATCAAGGATAATGGAGGGGGTGCAGGGTCATTCTAGTGATGTAATATATGTTTACCTGCTGCAGTCAGGATCGTATGGGCTAATTTTAGAACGTGGCTTGATATGTCTGCTGATATCCCCAATGTTGCTAGTGCTGGTACAATATGAAATGGTCTACCCAGCAATCACGTTATATAGTATCTGGCTTGTTTTCAGAATGCCTGAATCCTCACACAATCCCATACACATTGGTAAAGATCTGCTCCATTTGCCCCAATCTTCAAACAATTAGCTGAGTCTCCCAGGTTTGACTGATAATAGTTTTTGAGGAGAATAGTAGGTGTGATGTGCTATTTTAAAATGCATTTCTTGATAAGAAGCTGATGGAAGTATTTTAAGTAGTTTGACAGTTGATATTATGATCGCATCGTGAGTCATTGTGGACAAATGAGTAACCCATCGAGATATGGTTTATTGCCTGATAGAGTGGTCCAGGTGGGGTTGGATTATTGAGTAGAGTGAACTGATGGAGTAGGAAGTACTGGCAGGCTGCGTAAGTATATAGTCTATGGAATGGTCCCAGTCTGTCTAAAATAGAAACATAGAAACATAGAATGTGACGGCAGATAAGAACCATTCTGCCCATCTAGTCTGCCCAATATTCTAAATACTTTCATTAGCCCCTGGCCTTATCTTATAGTTAGGATAGCCTTATGCCTATCCCACGCATACTTAAACTCCTTTACTGTGTTAACCTCTACCACCTTAGCTGGAAGGCTATTCCATGCATCCACTACCCTCTCTGTAAAGTAATACTTTCTGATATTATTTTTAAACATTTTTAAACATTTGCCCTTCTAATTTAAGACTATGTCCTCTTGTTGTGGTAGTTTTTCTTCTTTTAAATATAGTCTCCTCCTTTACTGTGTTGATTCCCTTTATGTATTTAAATGTTTGTCTCGTCTTTCCTCCAAGCTATACATGTTAAGTTCCTTTAACCTTTCCTTGTAAGTTTTATCCTGCAATCCATGAACCCGTTTAGTAGTCCTTCTCTGAACTCTCTCTAAAGTACCAATATCCTTCTGAAGATATGGTCTCCAGTACTGTGTACAATACTCCAAGTGAGGTCTCACCAGTGTTCTGTACAATGGCATGAGCACTTCCCTCTTTCTACTGTTAATACTTCTCCCTATACAACCAAGCATTCTGCTAGCATTTCCTGCTGCTCTATTACATTGTCTGCCTACCTTTAAGTCATCAGAAATAATTACCCCTAAATCCCTTTACGGGAATGTGTTCTTACAGAAAGACAAGTGGCAGAGTGTGAATACATTTAAGTAGCCATGATTGCCCAAATACAGAAGTCTTCTTTACAATCTTCCTCAAACCCAGCCGCTAACAATTTGGGTTCAGTTGGTGACACTATAATAAAAATAAATTTTATCCCCAAAATTATAATTTGCAGTTAAAAATAATGTATATGACAAAAAATAAAAATGCTTTTAATTGCTGACAAGGGATGTTACATTTTACTCAGAAGAGTAGAGCAGAATAAGACATTTTTAGTTTGAGTTAGTTAAATAGTTGTCCTTACGATATACCTTATTATCCAAAAGAGCGTGCCGAACAACCTAATGTGAGGTAACACGCTTTAATTAAAAAGAAGAACTGATAACTTGTCTGAAACATGCAGTATGTCTACAGAATTAGATACTGAGGCTGCGTTCAATCTGGTCAAGTTGATCAAACCTCACACATCCCACTCTTACTCATTAGTTGAGATTTTTGGCTGGAGAACGTGTTTGGTCACTGTGGTCGTGTTTATTACACTGTCAGTAACAGTAAACGTGTTTGTGTTTTAAATGCATGTCTGTGATAGAACCACTGTTAACGTATTCATTTCAGTATGATGTGGTTTTCCAGAATACTTTGGTCTAAGCCAATGTTCCGACAATTTAGCTGAAGGCTCGATCTAAACAATAAAATTAAGTCAGATTACAGCTTATATCATGCATGAATGAAAAATGTTTCAGTATTTAGGCTGATTATCACTATTTTGAAGTAAGCTTTGGATAATGACCAAGGTAAATGCGGGTAAAATAGTATATAGTGGGTATACTAATAAAAGTAGGCAAACATAACAGAAAAAGTCAAATTCATCTTAAAATGCACTAATTTACTTGACAGCAATGTATTTTTATATTTATTGTTGAGCACATTTGTTCATACCTACCAATTTTCGCAGTCTACAAACTGGGAGCAGCTGGTCAAGTGTGATGGCCAAGCGGATCTGGAACCCAAGTGCAGCAGAACAGCGATACCTTACAAGCACATCCCACAAGATACCCTGGGGGTGGAGAGTATTTGTGTATGATGCCACTGGTTCTTTAGAGGACTATCTAGGCATCAAATCCAAAGGGGGTGAGACGGAAAAGCAAGGCCAAAGGCAGTCCAAGAGTCAGGCAGGTGGCAGGAGGCGAAGTCAGAGAGAAAGCCAAATACTGGTAACCAGGAAAATACACTACAAGCACTAATAAACACAAGGGTGCACTGGAAAACTGAGACTAGGCTACAGAACAACCGAGCAATAACTGCTAAGAGTAGTAGGCCAAAGTAAAATGGATGAAGTGCCATGTGACCCTATAAACTTGTCCAGTGTCATCTTAAGATGCATCATTGTCCTTAAGCACCGCTAACCTTGTTCTTGGCCACACCAGCACCGTCTCCCTCATGGTGGCCACTATGTTGGGAAGATGGTGAGGCCACCTCATTCCCCCTGTTGGAGGCTGCTGGACATCGTGCAGGAGCCCTGGAGTCTGGGATTGTGGCCAGCCAACCTCGTGCATGATATAGGCGCCCCGGGCAGGTAAGAGACAGCTTGTTGCCGTGACACAAAGTAAGCATGTCAATCTGATACTTCTGATGTTCTGATGACAAATGGGGGGCATGGTTTAAGGGGGTTGATGACAGTAATACTTTTAAAGGCATTTTTCACCTTTACAAAATTTTAATTGACTACTCTTGTATGTTAAGACTTTATTCAGCAGATCTCAACTTGTATTCTTTTCTCTATCATTTTAAACATATCAAAAAAAAAAAAGATAGAAGGTATCTCTGCCACTCTGTATGAAAACATTTTAACTAATCTCAGGACAGTGTACAGCAAGCATGTCAAACTCAAAGGCTAGCACAGGCCACATAAACAAGGTTTACGTTTATGTGGGCAGCAAACAAAACCCAAAACCTTATATTTTTATAGAAACTTAGGTTTGTTTTGAAAAGTACAGTATATAAAAAAACAGCATCCCCCTCTACTAAACCCCAGTCCCCACTCTGTACTAAATCCCAGTCCCCCTCTCTATACTAATTCCCATCCCCCTCTATACTAAATCCCAGTCCCCCTCTACTAAACCCCAGTACAGAGGGGGGTGCTGGGATTTAGTAGAGGAGGGACTGGAATTTAGTATAAAGGGGGGATGGGAATTAGTATAGAGAGGGGGACTGGGATTTATACTAAATACTATACTAAATCTGTACTAAATCCCAGTCCCCCTCTACTAAACCCCAGTCCGCACTCTGTACTAAATCCCAGTCCCCCTCTCTATACTAATTCCCATCCCCCCTTTATACTAAATTCCAGTCCCTCCTCTACTAAATCCCAGCACCCCCCTCTGTACTAAATCCCTTCCCCCCCTAAATCCCAGTCTCCCCTCTACTAAATCCCCAGTCCCTCCTCTGTACTAAATCCCAGTCTCCCCTCTACTAAACCTCAGTCCCCACTCTATACTAAATCCCAGTCCCCCTCTCTATACTAATTCCCATCCCCCCATACTAAATTCCAGTCCCTCCTCTACTAAATCCCAGCACCCCCCTCTGTACTAAATCCCAGTCCCCCTCTCTATACTAATTCCCATCCCCCCTCTATACTAAATCCCAGTCTCCAATCTACTAATCCCCAGTCCCCCCTCTGTACTAAATCCCAGTCCCCCTCTCTATACTAATTTCCATCTCCCCCTATACTAAATCCCAGTCTCCAATCTACTAATCCCCAGTCCCTCCTCTGTACTAAATCCCAGTCCCCCTCTCTATACTAATTCCCATCCCCCCCTATACTAAATCCCAGTCCATCCTCTCTATACTAAATCCCAGTCACCTCCCAATACTAAACCCCAGCCTCCACTCTGTACTAAATCCCAGTGCCCCTCTCTATACTAATTCCCATCCCCCCTCTATAGTAAATCCCAGTCCCTCCTCTACTAAACCCAAGCCCCCACTCTGTACTAAATCCCAGTCCCCCTTTCTATACTAATTCCCATCCCCCCCTCTATACTAAATCCCAGTCCCTCCTCTACTAAACCCCAGTTCCCACTCTATACTAAATCCCAGTCCCTCCTCTAATAAATCCCAGCACCCCCCCTCTGTACTAAGTCCCAGTCATAGAAACATAGAAACATAGAATGTGACAGCAGATAAGAACCATTTGGCCCATCTAGTCTGCCCAATTTTCTAAATACTTTCATTAGTCCCTGGCCTTATCTTGTAGTTAGGATAGCCTTATGCCTATCTCACGCATGCTTAAACTCCTTTACTGTGTTAACCTCTACCACTTAAGCTGGAAGGCTATTCCATGCATCCACTACCCTCTCAGTAAAGTAATACTTCCTGATATTATTTTTAAACCTTTTTCCCTCTAATTTAATGTCCTCTTGTTGTGGTAGTTTTTCTTCTTTTAAATATACTCTCCTCCTTTACTGTGTTGATTCCCTTTTATGTATTTAAAGGTTTCTATCATATCCCCCCTGTCTCGTCTTTCCTCCAAGCTATACATGTTAAGATCCTTTAACCTTTCCTGGTAAGTTTTATCCTGCAATCCATGAACCAGTTTAGTAGCCCTTCTCTAAGGTGTCAATATCCTTCTGAAGATACGGTCTCCAGTACTGCGTACAATACTCCAAGTGAGGTCTCACCAGTGTTCTGTACAATGGCATGAGCACTCTTTCTACTGCTAATACCTCTCCCTATACAACCAAGTATTCTGCTAGCATTTCCTGCTGCTCTATTACATTCTCTGCCTGCCTTTAAGTCATCAGAAATAATCACCCCTAAATCCCTTTCCTCATATGTTGAGGTTAGGACTCTCAAATATTCTGTACTCTGCCCTTGGGTTTTTACATCCAAGATGCATTATCTTGCACTTATCCACATTAAATGTCAGTTGCCACAACTCTGACCATTTTTCTAGTTTACCTAAATCATTTGCCATTTGGCTTATCCCTCCTGGAACATCAACCCTGTTACATATCTTAGTATCATCATCAGTCCCCCTCTCTATACTAAATCCCAGTCCCTCCTCTACTAAATCCCAGCACGCCCCTCTGTACTAAATCCCAGTCCTCCTCTCTATACTAATTCCCAGTCCCCCCCATACTAAATCCCAGTCACCTCTCTATACTAAATCCCAGTCCCCCTCTCTATACTAATTCCCATCCCCCCTCTGTACTAAACCCCAGTCCCCCCTCTATACTAAATCCCAGTCCCTCCTCTAATAAATCCCAGCACCCCCCTCTGTACTAAATCCCAGTCCCCCTCTCTATACTAAATCCCAGTCCCCCCTCTATACTAAATCCCAGTCCCTCCTCTACTAAATCCAAGCACCCCCTCTGTACTAAATCCCAGTCCCCCTCTATACTATTCCCATCCCCTATACTAAATCCCAGCACCCCTCTGTACTAAATCCCAGTCCCCTCTCTATACTAATTCCCATCCCCCTCTATACTAAATCCTAAAGCACCCCCTCTGTACTAAATCCCAATCCCCCTCTATACAATTCCCCCCCCTCTATACTAAATCCCAGTCTCTCCTCTACTAAATCCCAGCACCCCCTCTGTACTAAATCCCAGTCCCCCTCTCTATACTAATTCCCATCCCCCTATACTAAATCCCAGTCTCTCCTCTACTAAATCCCAGCACCCCCTCTGTACTAAGTCACAGTCCCCCCCTCTGTAGTAAATCCCAGTCCCCCTCTCTATACTAAATCCCAGTCCCCTCCATACTAAATCCCAGTCCCCCCTCTACTATACCCCGGCCCTTGTTTAAATAAACAAAACAAAAAAAAACAATATTAGCCAACAAGCAGACTCCACTTGTTATGGATAGAAATTATTGTTAGTAAAATGTCTATTCACTGTATGTGCCTGTGTTCATGATTTACTCAAAATGGCTGCTAGAGCACCCCCTCCCATCCTGTGTTCATTATTTACTCAAAAAGGCCCGCTAGAGCACCCCCTCCCATCGACCAATGAATGTAAAGAATGTCATGTATTAAGATGGCGTCTCCATCCAGAGCTGCACCCAGGATGATGGTGACATCACACTTTGGAGGAAGTGCATTAGATAAGACACTTAACACTTGACCAATTAAAGATGTTTTCTCTCTGTTATCTTGCTTTCTGCATATGATGTATTTCTGCCTTTATAAGAGGCTTGCTGCCCCCCCTGATTAAACATTCCGAAGATATCATTGCAACATAAATTTATAAATAACGCCTCTAATAATAGAATTCTTAAAAAAGAATAAAAACTATTCCTTACATTCTGGAGATTATATTTCTCAGACAAGGATACAGTGTTTAAGAAAAAAAAATCCTATGTGATTAAAAGTGTACTAAATAAAGTAATTTGGACAAGTAATTTATAAAATATTAGTAATCTCACACTCTGCATTTAATGGGGCTAAAGTTTTTAAACTATAAATCCAATATGTCTCTCGATATATCAAGTTTTGAGAAGTTCGCCACCTCTCGATGGGACTTTAACTTGTTGTAACCCACAGTAGGTTAGAGAGGCTCAATTGCTGGCATGATGTGTTTTAAAATGGTACGAAAGTGTATGTTTTTCGAATTGTCTTTTGATATTATAAACGTGCTCTCCAACCTAATTTCTCTAAGATCTATTTCTCTACCTTCCCAAATAAAAAAACAGTTGTCAATATAACGTCTGTAGAGGACTAGGTTTGTCACCCAGTGATATCCCTCCCATATAAAAAAACTGTTCCCAATAGGACATAAAAATATTTGCATAGCTGGGTGCAAACCTAATCCCCATTGCTGTGCCTGTAGTTTGTAAAACAAATCTTATTTTGATACCAAAAAAAAAATAATAGTTTTTTAGTATAAAATCAATACACTCCATTACAAATTCTATTTGGTCCATTTGCATATTTTGATTGTTGTGTAGAGTGTGTCTGGCTGCTTTTGCTCCTGTATAAAGAAATGTCACATCACATGTGAAAAGCCAGAAATTTTCCTTCCATGTTAAACCTTGTATTGTTCTTAGAAGGTCACCACTATCTTTAAGATGTGATTTTGATAATTTTACAAATGATTGGAGTAAAACATCACTGTATTGGGAGAGATTAGAAGTTAGGGAGTCGATTCCTGAAATAATCGTTCTCCCAGGGGGCTGCGTAAGACTTTTGTGGATTTTGGGAAGATAATAAAACACTGTTTTTTGGGGGGTATAAAACAGTGACAAAATCAAATTCTTTCTTATTTAGAATTCTCATAAATTTGCCCTTTTTTAATTATTCAAAAAGTTGTTTTTTAGTGTCTGCAGTGGGATCCTTACATAAAGGTCTGTATGTGTTTGTGTCATTTAAAATTTGTTTACATTCTATATCATAATCTGATGTGTTAATTAGCACTATACCTCCCCCTTTATCCACAAGTTTTATGGTAATTGGTTTATTATCTTGTAATTCTCGTAGTTCCTTTTTCTCTTGTATAGTTAGATTATGCTTTTTCCCTAAGATTTTTTCTGGAATTTTCTCCAAATCTGCCATGACCGCTAAACTAAATGCATTCATAGATGCGCTCTGTATTTGTTATAAAATTACATGATTTTGCTTTTACCTGACGTTTAGTCATGATTTTATTAAAGACACGGAAGCGATTATTGTCCCACCCTTGAAATATAATTCCAAATTGGTTTTATGCTTTACATAGGCACTAAGTTACAATGACTGAAGTAACCGTGTGGCTCCTGTTTATGTTTTCACATTCTCATTCGGATTCGCTCCATGGATTCGTGATGATTATCCTCAGACGGGATCATCTAGGTTGGCAAATTTCCTGTTCCTGTTATGGAATTGTTACGACTTGCTAGATTGTTACCTGGTTGGACTTCATCTGGATTTAACTGCAATGATATTGTGCGGTTGGACTGATTTGTCAGTTCCTGTTTCTTGTTTGTTTTATTGTGTTCGCATATTCAAAGAAAGAGGAAGAGTTAACGGAGGTGCTGATGATTACACTGGGACTTGGTATGGGAGTGGCTTATATCACTATGTATACCATATTTTTCTTACTGTTTTTCTATTCTTTGCTGCCATTGGCAGACAGTAAAGAAAGGGATATGCAATATTCGCCTCCGTGTCTTTAATAAAATTGTGACCTTTCATCATGTAATAGCAAAATCATGTAATTAATACATTTCACATGGAAAGGATCTACCTGAATTCAGTTAAACCGCACATATTCTGTTAAGTGTTTTTTAACTAAATCAAGCTGAAATGATGCTTTTAGTTTATAATTAATGGGAATGTGGATATTTTAACAGCTGACATTTAGTAG